CAAGAATATAACTGCAATGTTCTCTATGCTTGACTTGTACATCAGGAGAACACTACTTTTATTGTGTCTCCTTTAAAACCCATCCAGTGGATTTTACCTGGGCGAGACAGTTAGAGTGTCAACTTGACTAGGCCATTGGGTGTGCCTGGGTATCTGACCAAGCATTGCTGCCCGTGTGGTGTTTCTGCCCGGGTCTTTTGGGACGAGACGAACATTCAAATGGATAGATCGAGTACAGCAGACTGCCCTCCCTAATGTGGCTGGGCCTCATCTACCCAATGGAAGACTTGAACAGAAGAATAAGGATGACATACCCCCCCACACACACACACACACACACTGAGAGGAAACTCCCCAACTTTTGTTTCTGTCTTTAGATTCAGACTGAAACGTGGGCTCCTCCTGGGTTGCCGGCGTGTTGCCATTTGGTCTGAAACTACCCCATCGGCTCTCCTGGGTCTTAGATGTTGGGACTTAGACTGGAGAAACATCACTGGCTGTCCTGGGTCACCAGCTTGCTGACTCATCCTGTGGATCTTGAGACAGGAAACTCCCCAACTTTTGTTTCTGTCTTTAGATTCAGACTGAAACGTGGGCTCCTCCTGGGTTGCCGGCGTGTTGCCATTTGGTCTGAAACTACCCCATCGGCTCTCCTGGGTCTTAGATGTTGGGACTTAGACTGGAGAAACATCACTGGCTGTCCTGGGTCACCAGCTTGCTGACTCATCCTGTGGATCTTGAGACTTACCAGTGTCAAATGCATGCATAAGGGCCTCAAAAAGTTGATGGCAATATGTATTATGAAAAAAAAAAAACATGCATTGATTTTAATTGTTTTTGCACCAAATTAAACTCATACTTTAATTCGATCCTCCTGCCAACATTTTTTTTTAAGAGGTTTTTGTCTTAGGGTCTGCGCTCTTGCCAGAGAAAGAGAGAGAGAAACATTGAGAGGGAAAGTGAAAAATCACCTCTCGGGGGTGATGGCCACACTGCAGTCCCCTCTCTTTCATTCTCCTCCTAGAATCTTAGGCATACATGCACATGTACCTGGCCTGAGTTTCAAGCCACCAGGTCCGGAACTCAAACCATGGTGGGCCATGTGGGAGTCCAGTGACCTAACTCCTATGCCATCTGCTGGTCCTCCCACCAACTTTTTAAAAAAATTTTTCGGAGAGCTTTTTGCTATAGGGCATGTGTGCTTGCCAGCCAGACAGAGAGAGACAGAGAGACAGAAAGTGAGAAATCACCCCCCCCCCAGGAGGGATGGCCACGCCGCAATCCCTTCTCCTCCATTCTCCTCTTGGGATCTTGGGCATGCACGCACACGCGCCCAGTGTGTGTTTAAGCCACCGGGTCCGGGACTCGAACCGCAGTCAACTACGTGGGAGTCCAGTGATATAGCCATTATGCTAACTGCTGGTCCCATCCCCCCAACTTGTTGAAGTAACGTTTTGTGTGTGTGTGTGTGTGTGTGTGTGTGTGTGTGTTTGTGTGTGCCCTACTAGTTGAGGAGAACAGGAATCCTGACTAATACACTGGATAGATAAACCCCATTCCTGAATAAATGCTCCAGCATTTTCAGCTCAGTCGTTGGTAATAGACAGTCTTATAGCTTCCTCAAAAGCACAGACACAGACACAGTCTCTCCTGTAATTAGAATATCACTCCAAGAGATCCTCTCCTTGGCTCAGGCCGACTTCCGGTTGGAATCCTCCAGCAAGTCGGTGTGACTGCCTTCCCATCTCTTTCTCTGCCTTGTACATCCCTTCTCTCCCCCAACTAGCTCTTGAGGGGAAGGGCTGGGGGGAGAGAGGAGAGGTAATGAATAAGGCAAGGCCTCTCTTGAACTGGTTCTCTCTCTGAGCTTGGCAGATGTCTAAAGCTGATTCCCTAGCCCCTGGGTGTTTTCATAGACTCCTTGAAGATTCCCACAATCCGTTCCTATCCTAGGTGGGAGTGGTCACCTTTGTCAGCCCTGGGCATTGGGCAGTATCCTCCAGCTTCTTGATGCTGAGGTCCCCTCTCCCTCTCCTCCCAGAAGTGCTCTTGGGCATTCTCTAAGACAACCTTAAAGAGGCTATCTCCTGTGGGGCCCAAAGAACATGCAGCTTTTCTCCCAGCATGCTCTGAGAAGGTAAGCCGATCCAAGCATGGCAACACTACCCTGTCTTGGCCACCATGGCAGAGAGCCAGCTGTCACTGGCCTGGTAGGAGCAGACTCTAGTCCACACCCACTTCGGCTTTCTCAGGTGTGGTTTTGGACAACAGCCGCTCCCTCAGCCTCAGCAGCTCTTACTCTGACCCTGAGGCTCCTTTGTGGTTGGCTGGGGGGCTGGTGGGTCCCACTGCAACATTCTGACACACGTGCAAACAGCCCAAGGGTCACCACTTGACCAGCTGAGGCCAGGTGCCGTGCATGAAGACTGCCCCTTTCCATTCATTGGGCAGAGAATTCTTAGACACATTTATGGGGCTCTGCAGGAAGTCCCACTGATAGCAAGCCACGCTTAGCTACAATAAGAATGAGCTTGAATCAGCTTTCTTGTTTCATTCCCCCCTGTCCTTCACTCCTGTTTCTTGGAACCATTCCACACCAGAGCTAGCTGCAAGGAAGTGATTTTCTCAGGCTCTGTTTTGGGGGCCAGTGGGGATGTGGAGACAGGTTCAGACAATCCCTCATAAACTGTGGGTTCAAGGTTAGCACCTCCTTGCTCCTCACATACGTCCTTCCCCATCCAGCCTTCTATTTTTAGGGCTTGGGGGGGATCTCAGACACAGCAACTGCCGCCTCTTTCCCACAAACTCTTCATCTGCTTTTGCCTTCCAGCTCTCTGAACTTAGGAACTATCTTTGATCTGGCTGAGACTTTCCAGAGTCATGGAACAGACCTGGGCCCCATTCTTTCTGTAAATTTGTGTTTGGTGATTTGGCACCTGACTTTGAAATCTCCCATTTATGATAGCTTGGTGTCTCTGTCAAAGCTTCCATTTTTCATATCTTGTGACACACTGATCATTCAGCCCGGTGTCTATAACTCGAGTTCCAGTTTAACTGCCATTTTGATTGACGCCCTCTGTGCCTACTCAGCACTGGGTTCCTAAATGTCAGTCTTGGGACCAGCAGTTAGAGGAATGGCTGTGTCACTGAACTCTCATGTAGCCGACCGTGGTTCGAGTCCCGGACCCAGTGACTTAAACTCACGTCGGGCTCGTCTGCATGCGTGCCCAAGATCCCGAGAGGAGAATGGAGGAGAAGGGATTGCGGCGTGGCCATCCCCCCTGGGGGG